AAATCGCCAATTTTCTGGCTGAGATGCTCTCTTTCCGCTTTACTCATAGAACGTGACAATTCTTGCGTTCGCACCTCCGTATACTGCTTCAGGATTGCATAAAAGTCCTCTTCATCCTTTTTGTCTAAATCCTTCGGAAGCAATATGCCAACGAACATATCTATAAAATCACAAAAACAAAAACTAGATTTTAAAAAGGATATGGTTTATATGAGAAACGAAAAAATTTTTTTAGGGAAATCAATTAAAGAAATCGAAAATGATACAGATGCGTGAAATAACAATTATTCATACCAATTCCATATTTTACTTTCCAAAGAGAAAAAAAAAACTATCAAAAGTGGCCGAGCTGGCAGCCGTCAAAAACACTGACATGCCGACAAGGCTATCGATGGTTTCAAGTATCCGATGATTGCTTAAGAAAATCTGAAGGCAATTTGAACGGCTAATACTTTAAGAAATGAAAATTTTATCAGCAAACGAATTAATGAATTTTTAAAACGGGCATATCTAAAGAGGAACCTAAACAACAAGTTAAGCAGGTAGTCGTTTTTTATCATCGCATGAGCGACGTAAAAAGAGAAAACGAATTACTCGGATGCTCAGCAGAAGGATTTGGTACCACGTACGCGCCAAAATCGTTTTTCAGCACCGGCGTCTGCCCAGGTACCAACGGATATGACCATGGACCAACCTGAAAATCCGTCTTTAAGAAACCAAAAAACTGTCATAAAAATCCATTTTTTTAAAGTTTCGAACAATGACATACCTGCATGAAAGCTTCCGCTTCAACTTTTTCTGGTTTTGCTTGGTTCGGAGCAAATCGAAAAATTTCCAGCGCTGAAGGATATGTTGGCGCAGACGTATTTTCACCCTAAAAATCTCAAATGCAAGGAACTTTTAAGTTTTCTAAAATGCAAATGAGTTCCCTGAAAATCATTACGAAGCGCTTGTGTGTGCATCCAAGGCCTAAGTGGTATAAACATTCACAATGAATATGTTTAAAAATGCAGTCTTCTTAAAGCATTAACCCTAAGCTGTAGGTCTTTTCAGTCACTGATTATGGCCTCATAAAAGAATGAACTGCTAAAACATAGACCTAATTTCTATTTTTCATTGTTCCATGGTTTTTGCACTTTTGCAAGAGCAAAAAAAAAA